GGTGTTGGCAGAAGCAGCCTTTCCACCAAGGTTCTCTGTTGAAGATACCGACGACGGAATCCTGACTCGGGACGACGACGGACGCAGCTCGGCTTCAGCACCAGACACCGGGATACACCCCTCTCAGTGGTCTTGCTGCTCACTCACTCACTCATTCGATCACCTCACCTAAGCAACGCTCAGCTTGCTGGGTAATCCCATCGCCCGCTGTCGCTGCTAACCTGAGTTTATTCCCGATCAGAGTGGAGCAGATTGCAACATTTCATCACTGATCCTCATCAGTAACACTCACACGCTCACATCGTTCTTCACCTTTGCAAACCGCATCTGACCGAGGCGCACCGCTTTTGCCGCCCGCACGGCATCCTTGTCGCACCTCACACCTCATACCTCATCCCTCACACCTTACATCTCACACCTCACACATTCCGCCTCACACACGCACACACACATACACTCACATACATCCCACACCCTCTATCACTCTTAGCCTTCTTACTCGTTCTCACATCACACACTATTCGCTTCTCCCTACGCCGCTGGGATTGCTGTCTTTCTGCCCACCTCAGGTACCGACCGTGTGGACTGGGCCTGGACTGCTGCGCGATCCTCAGGGACCAAGACCAAGACCAAGACCTCGAGGCAGCAAGACCTTGAGAGCTCGCATTGTCATCTTACCTCTTTCTCATATCTGGCCTACACTATCACCAGGCCATCAGCTACGCATACTCAATACATACAGCCTACCCGGTACTGCTTGGACCGACCACTGGCCATCACTGGTCACCTGTTGACCTCGTCTCAGTGAGAGCACTCGATCTCGCCTCAGTAACCTCCACTCAGTGAGAGTGAGAGTAAGAGTGAGGGACTGTCCCCACCACTACCGTCTCCGGCCCGGCGAAAGCAGCCCGCTCGCTGCCCTGCAACTGGGGCCCCTCGGCGAGTCCACAGCGCTCTCTGCCCACTGAAGGCGCAGCGCCCGCAGCTCCCGCGCTCTTCCCCTCCACTATCTGCGCCTGTGTCCTCCCGCCTCTTCCACTTCGCTCCTCTTTTTTCCCTCTTCTTCCTCCTCCTCCTCGAATTCCCCCCCTCCACACTTCCTCCACCTCCCCTCCTCCAGCCAAAATGCCTTCGACCAACGGCTCCGAATATCGCCATATGCGAAGTAACAGCCTCAATATCCAACAACAGAATGGCCATCCCAGTCCTATCCTGAGCCCAATGGCCTCCAACGCATCCACCACTTCCGCCGCCAGATTCGATGGCCCGCGCAGTCCACCGAGTACGTCACCTTGCTTCTCTGTCTCTACTCCTCCTCCTCCTCGTCTCCATCGTCGTATTCCTATTCATCTATTCCCTCTTTCTGTCTCTCTCTCTCCGCTTCGCTCCCGAAGCCGCCAATGCCCGCCGTTGTCTCACGTCGGCTCTGCTACGATGGCACGTCGCTGAAGCTCGTCGGGATGGTCGCCTCGCCTTCCCTCCCGCCGCTTAGTGTCGTCTGCAACACGTCGCACCGCATCCGTCCTTGAGCAACCGGCGATTGCTCCTCTGTCTTTGTTCTGTCCTGCATCAAGCACTTGATCCTCGGCTGACTCGTTTCTTCTCTTGCGCTACAGATACTTCCCACGTTCCCTGCAAATTCTTCCGACAAGGAGCCTGTCAAGCCGGCAATGCTTGCCCTTTCAGTCACGATCTAGGCTCGGCCGCCGAGAACATCTGCAAGTACTTTGCAAAGGTGCGTTATTTCCCTCCTTCAGCTGGGCAGCATCGCGACAAACTCCCTCATCCTTATGTGTTCCGCCCCTCCATCCTGTCGGTTGCTCTGCTCTACTGTTACCCCTCGGCTACACAGACCACCCAACCCATCCCACCCTCGAGCCCGTGCCCCTCGCATCCTAGCAACCCCTGCCTACTAAACCATCATTTGCGCTTCTTTGGTCACGGAACCGTGGAGCGGCGCAGATAAGAGTGCTAGAGTGCTAATATGTGGTTGATTTGATGACAGGGCAACTGTAAATTCGGCCCCAAATGCGCAAACATTCACGTTCTCCCCGACGGCCGGCGAATTAACTATGGCAAGAATGGCGTCACGATTGGCAATTCTCCGATAGCCCTCGGCGGACGCATCAATCCCACGGCAGCCTCCAACTACCACCCTACCAGTGCTCTTACCTCTGGCTTGTACCGCGAAGGTGTCCCTCCCTATACTTCGGCATACCCTTACGGCGGTGACGAGAGACAGCAATCGCTGGGTCGCCAGCCCAGCCTCGAAAACGGCCTGCCTACGATCGATACCACATACTCCCACCCCGGTTCCAACTACGGTTCGCCCCGCGATGACGATGCTTCCAGATTCGGCCTCGGCTTGTCTCCTGTCAATGCCAACGGACTGTCAGTACTGGACGCGCCACTCCCAGCATCCTTCGACTCCCAGGGCATGTCCAATGCCGCCCGATTTCCCGCCGCGCCATGGCCCTCGTCTGTACCTTCGAAATTCGGCATCGAGTCCCCCTCGCCCTCTCTGAGCAACGCCAAAGATTCGCGAACATCCGAAACCCTCAAAATGCTCCACACTTCGGCATTTGGTGGCAGCGAGTATCTTGCTGCGGCCAACGTCACCGCTTCCAGCAGCCCTCCCGGCCAGCCGGAGGAATACTTTGGCAAGCGAGCCATGCATTCGAGCCGATACGCAAAGCCAAAGATGCTCAGCTCGAGCATGCCAAAGACGTCGGCCGTAGATCACGATTGGGAGGCCAATTTTGGGTTCTTGGAGGAGGACTGTGTGCCGTCCAACTTGCAGGATCTCTTGACACCGACCGAGAAGGCCCGTCGCGGCTCTCTGCGCACTGTTGACGGTGAGCCGGGCAGCGAGAACGGCACCAAGTTTGGCAGCCCCATCGGCGGCGCGAGCCCGAGCAGGTGGGGCCCGCTTTTCCAGCGCCAGAAGGAAGAAGAGCTTGGTCACAAGCATGGACCGTCGGTTTTTGGGCATGTTGGAAGCCCTCTCCGAAACTCGGTGCTCTCGAACGAGATGGGTCACGGCGGTGCCATGGCCCGACCAATCGGCTCTCGTGCCGGCAGCGAGACCATGTCGGCACTCACACAACAGCTTCAGCGCACACGGCTGGGTGACGACGGGAGCAGCAGCCCCCACTTGCATCCTTTGGCGGCCACGGGCCGAGCCCCGAGCAATAACGGCGCTGGGCCCATTGGCAAGGAACGCGACCGCGCGATGGAGCGTCACGTCTCGAGCGGATCTATCAGCTCCTCCGTGACGGGACGATACACCACGCCCATTGACGAGGAGGATCCTGCCTTCGTCTTCAATATGGAGGAAGAGGAAGATCAGTCGTCGGCACGGCTCCGGAAGCGTGGCTCGGCCGGTTTCGGTATTGGTGGTGGATGGAGCTACGCCAACGCCTTGTCCAACAAAGGTGCCAGCTCTGGTTCCGGCTTGGCCAAGGAGCAGCGAGAGCCATCGGTCAGCGTTGAGACCGTTGGCGGGCGCTGATGCTAGCTATGCTCCATGGCGGATCGAAGGAAGTCTTCAAAACACCGGCAACTAGAAAAAGCATAGCGACAGCCTTGCAACATGTCACGCTTTCGGTGGCATTCTTTTCACAACTCTCAACATTTACACCCTGACGAAACTCTACGACACACACACACACACACACACACACATCAAGAACATATTTCAGCCACGATTTTTCACAGCATGCATGGGCAAAAGCCAAACGGAAAACGAAAAATTCAACCGGTCTACAAAATCAATGGGATACGAGTAAGGGATCGGATCTACACGGTGGCTTGCTTATACAACAGGGTAGGGAGTTTGTTGGAGTTTTTGTCGACGCCGAGTCGCTTTTGGCTCTCGAGGATTGAACAAACATTGGAGGATTAATACTACCACCAACTGGCTCAAGATAGGATCGTTCGCAAATATGAAGAATCCGCTGTCAAACTCTTGGGACGTATGGGTTTCCTTCGCCTTTACCTACGATAGGTGAAGGAAGTGTGGCTTCTCGATGCTTAAAGTAGGCGGGGAATCCTGTACACGTCAAGCAGAGGAATGGCATCAGCTTCTGAAACTTGGCTACTTGGGGGGAGGCAACGGATGACTGGGGAGAAATATCTGGCTTTGGCTGGCACAAAAGTCACAGGTCGGCTGGCTGCGTGACTTGACACCGCATTAGAGACGCCTGGAAGAGGAAAAGCAGATACTAACTAACCGTCTAATTTTCGTTCATTATATAAAAGCTGATTTTTTATTGGAGACTGGCAATGGCCGCACGAATGGTATTATTATCTATTGAATTGAGGGCATCACAATTCTGAGGCAGTACGTATGACGACTTTTGTATGCACAAGGTAACAAACACAACCTGATTTGACTTTTGCTGTGGTAAGGTACCTAGTGTGAGCACTCGGCTGGTCCGCATATCGCTCGATGTATGCGCTGTATCTGCCGATCCCGAGCTATTCCGATATCCTCAGAATTGCAATGTCCTCTTCCTGAAGACTGGCCGCGGAGTCCAAGCAAATCACAGATTGAATCAATAGACCGCTAGGACGGACACAAAAACAAGAGGAATAGTCACGAAGAAAAACCCCGCCAATGGGTGACGAAAATCTATACACTAATACAAGGCAAACGTCAACAGGGCCCAGAGATTGTCCAACTCCAGATCATGTCGCCATGCCGTTTATGCGCGGAGGCCGCGCCGTGGGCTATCGTACGGAACCGTCCACCCACAAACACAAAGATAAGCCGGTGTGCTTCTCTCTCTCTCTCTCTCTCTCTCGCTCTCTCTCTGTCCGTCCCTCTTTTTTGCCCCCAATCCCGAAAACAAAGAGTTCCTCAAGAGCAGACACAGCGTCTTTCGTTTCCCTCCCGTTCTAGTTGCGAGTGGCGTGGTCGATGCCCGAAAGGGGGGGCAGGTTATTGTACAGACCGCCGGGGAGACGGATTCGGTGTGGAGGAAGTGGAATTGGGATATTTAGTGGGCATCGGGCTGGCTAACAATGTACTCGACCGCCTTGTCGACTGTAGATGGTAGTAGATTAGTACTTGGGCCGTTCAACGTGGTAAGGGCTGTATGGAGAGAGCATACTTGAGTGGATGGTGTCGGCATCCTTGTCGGGGATCTCAATGCTGAACTCCTCCTCAATGGCCATGACAACCTCGACGGTGTCCAAGCTGTCCAGGCCAAGGTCGTTGGCGAAGTGGGCGTTGGACTTGATCTACAGTTGCGAACAGACGCGGGTCAGTTTTACTGTTTTTGGTAGCTACGGAAGCGCAACTGAATTGATGCGAGTGGATAGTGAATGCTGGCAAGATTTGGGGGATGGCGAGGGCAAAGGGTAAAGGGCAAAGGGCGAGAAGGAGGTGACGTACGTTGGCCGGGTCGTTGACCTTGTCGAAACCCTGGAGCAGAGCAAAGATGCGGCCCTCAACCTCCTGCTTGTTCAGGCCGGCGGCGGCAGAGTACATGCGAACGGAAATGGCCTTGGGAGCGGCGCGGAAGGCAGCTTGGGGCGCGACGAGGGATCTCCGGGCGAGGGGAGCGGACTGCTGGACGGCGGGACGGATGGCGCGCGTGGCGGCGGCCGCGGAACGGAGGACTGCTGTGCGGAACATTGTGGAGGTATTGGTGTGGACTGTGAGAGACGAGACTTTCGGGAGCTCTGGCGATGCGAATTGGAATCGGGGATGGAGGAGATGGGAGGATCGGTTGGTATTTGACGGCTAAAGCTGGGATTTGATGGGAGCTTCGGGGGTAGTGGAGGAGGGTGCTGCGAAGTGCCAGTGATGATGATAAATTTCTCGTCACCCGCCCCCCCGAGGTATTCCCTGGCTAGCTTTCCTGGAAGGTGCACGTGCTTAGTCATGTGATCTCCCAGAATATCTTCATTTCGATGCATCACCAGACCAGATGGAGAGAGTTGAATGAAAATAATGAGAAATAACTACAAACAGCACTAGATACTCTCATAAAATTTTACAGCATCAATTGATTTTCGCCGCCAAGTGAAGCCGTCGTCGTCGAATCTGAGGAGCTTTTCTTCCGTTCCCTCCCAGTCCCGAACGAGCCACGTGACCTCCCCACAGCCAATCAATTGCCGCCCTTTGTAATCCCGCACCAAAGCTCGCACCCTCTGGGATGGCCGAATGTCCCATAACGTCAAGCTCTCTCATCGCCGCCCCGGGACATCCTACTACTCCCTCACCAACGCCGTAACCTCGCCCCTCCCCGTTCGTCCTCAACCCTCGATCCGACCCCCCGGAAAACCCCCCCAAATCTGCCCGGTCAATTGGCGCCGACGCATCCCTTTCTTCCTCAAAGGAAAACCATAGCGCAATGCCTTCCGCGGCCCAGCTTCCCGTCACCATGTTGGCCCTGGCGTCAACAAGGCCGGTCGCGAGAAATTCGTCGGCCGCCATGCAGCACGTCGGCAGATTGATGGCTGCCAACGCCATGCGCACCTACGCCACGCCCGCCGGTCCCCCGCCTGCCAACTTTCGCATGAAGAGACATCAGACCTGGGACGAGGATCAGGAGTCTACGTTGAACAAGCTTGGTCGTTATTTCCTGCTGTCCGAGATGGCCAGAGGAATGTACATCCTGATGGAGCAGTTCTTCCGCCCGCCCTACACCATCTACTACCCCTTTGAGAAGGTGAGCAAACCATTTTTTTCTCGACGATTGCGATCATATCGGAAGGGAAGAAAGAGACAATGGAGGAATTGAGGCCCTAAAGTGGTTATGGGGTGTGGTGCCCATACGGGAAATACAGGAAGAGCCGGATCGTTGCCGAGATTAAGAGGACACGCATCGGCCGCTATCATCGCATACGAAACCACGAATACAACGAGGAAGAAGAGGACTATTTCGGACAAAACAGACACGCATTGAAGAGCAAGACGACTAACAGGAATTTCTCTCAGGGTCCCATTTCCCCCCGCTTCCGTGGCGAGCACGCTCTTCGCCGCTACCCGTCCGGTGAGGAGCGCTGTATCGCCTGCAAGCTTTGCGAGGCCATCTGCCCTGCTCAAGCCATTACCATCGAGGCCGAAGAGCGTGCCGACGGATCCCGCCGCACCACAAAGTACGATATCGACATGACCAAGTGCATTTACTGCGGTTTCTGCCAAGAGTCGTGCCCCGTCGATGCCATCGTCGAGTCCCCCAACGCCGAGTACGCCACCGAGACCCGCGAGGAGTTGCTGTACAACAAGGAGAAGCTGCTGTCCAACGGTGACAAGTGGGAGCCGGAGTTGGCTGCCGTTATCCGCGCCGATGCCCCCTACAGATAAGACCAGGCTTGTTCACCTACACGAAAGAAAGAAGGGATTTTTTTTTCCTGGTTGAGGGCGTGGTGGCGGTGGCGGTAGAGAGCGAGAAGCCGAGGAACCACACCTTTTTCTTGCCTCTTTTGCAACTTTAATGCCTGAAGGATGGACACATCGAGGCGGACGCGAGGGGACGACGGTCGCAGGACAACGAAGGGCCGCGGCAGCAGTGATCTTGGCATGTTGTGTATTTCTACAGACAGGTCGGGGTCGGCTAGACTTGTGTAAATATCTCTCGCGAAAAGCAACCTTTTTCTTTGTCTGTTGACCACCGTCGCCCCCGATCTTGAGTGATGGCATCGCAAAAAGAAAGGCATTGCGTTGACAAAGTCATTGCGTTTCATGTCATTTTCCTTCCAGATGTATGCCATGTAGATTCGCATCACGTTGGGACGGGGCGTTTAGGTTGAATTTTGAGAAGATGGTTATTAGTGCAGCTTTATAGACAAATGTCTCTATCAAATGTTCATCCCCCATGACCTCGCGGATTGACATTCATGGCGAGAAGATACAATCCGACAAACGCCTCGCTCTAATATATCATGGGCCAAGCAAGCTTCGACAACGCCAGCGACCTTTGCGAAATGACACGCTTCCGTTTCTTCCGTATTTCCCCGGCTTGATACCGCGAGAAGAAATCTTGTAACGTCTTCTTCATCATAGACATGGGCCACACCCTTTACACCCTTACGCCCCTACGCATCTCACAATCAAAACGTCTTCTCCCAAGCTCCCCACCAAACACCCATGTTGGCGGCCACCACCAGATCCAACATCTTCAGCCCCTCGGGGTAGATGATCAGCTTGCCCAACTTGGCCCTCTTTCCCCTGTTGCCACCGCCCGCCCTCTCCTTGCCGAGCTTCAGATCAAACGGGCTAGGCGGCTCGTCCTCGTCGCTATACTCGCCGTTTCGGTTACCGACGTTGAGGAGCCGGCTAAAGTGCCCGCTCAGCTGCTCCCTCTTGCCCTCTTGCTTGAAAATCTCCGTGCTGGGCAAGTTGAACCGCAACTCGCTCACGCTGGCCGAGTACGACGACGAACTCGACGGCGCGAGCGGGTTACTCAGCCCGCCAGCCGTGGGCAGGATGTGTCTGCACTTAACACTACGCCCGGCATTCCCCGTGCGGAACTCGCAGCGGCCGTCCCAGGGCGAGACAAACACATAACCCTGAGGCCGGAGGCCGTGGCCCGGCTGGGTGATGATGGGGCCCGAGTCGCTTCCGTTAGAAGAGACGGAGCCCGTCGAGTGTGCGCTCAGCTGGCGTGAGTGGCGATGGGTAGACCTCGCTGGCGGCGAACCAAAGGGGACTGAGTCGCCTTCGTCCATCAGGCTGCCTGAGCGCGACCGAGAGCTGAACTTTTCGCGAATGTTGGAGGACCAGGATTTGGCGTAGGACATGACGACTTGGCGGGAGAAGCCGCCCTCCGGTGACTGTTGTTGCTGTTGTTGCTGCTGCTGTTGCTGAAGGTGGTTCAGCGCGTCTTCCGAGTTTGCAAAAGGGGGCGCAGTCGTCGTTGATGTCCGCGGCATATCCACGCTCTGGCGCAGAGGCATGTGGCGGAACTTTGCGTAGCCGGAGGACTCGAGGCGGATGTTGATGGGGGGTTGAGGGGCGTTTGCGCGCCGGCGGTCGTGAGCTGAGAGACCTGCCGAGTCGAAGGAGAAGTACTCGTACCCGTCGTCGCCAGAGTCCTCGAGCTGGTGGGAGGCCACGCGGCCTACGTTCCACTGGTTCCCCGTGCTCGGGTCGCGGCGGATGAGGGAGAGGGTGTAGGGGACCTCCTTTGTGTTGTGGAAACGGTTCGGTGAGGGAGAGCGAGATTGTTGGCGGTAGACAGAGGTCGGACGGGAGTAGCGACGTGAACGCGCCGGCGACGAGGAGGGTTCCTGCTGCTGCGGCGGCATACGGGAGGGAGACTGGGAGGGAGAGGCGCGGTGGAGGTCTGCAGCAGCGGGAGGAGGAGGTCTGGAGGCAAAAGGCGCGTCGTAGTCGGGTGCCGGGGTCGGGATGGCTCGCGGGCCAACGGGTTTGCGTACCGGGGGGGCCGGAGGTGAGTGGGATGTTGGTCGCGGAGGAAGCTCCGGGCGGTCCTCTGTCCACCGGGGTTGGCGGGGGTCGTTGCCTGTGCCGTAGCCGATGCCGTACCCCGTCGCATTCCCGGTTCCATAGCCGTAGAGGCCGGAGTTGCGATTGCCGGCGGCCGCTGGATGTGAGCCGGAAGTCGGAGGTTGTGTCTGAGTCTGAGTCTGAGTCTGTGTTTGCGGGGGAAGATGAGCGCGGGCTGGGTCGGCTGGCGGTGAGGGCACCTTTGTGCCTCCGACGGGTTTCCTCCGGATCTGAGCCGTGCTACGGGTGCTATCCATGCTAGACCTAGGCGTGTCCGGGTTCCGTAGATGGTGAGGTTGCTGAGATCCAGCCGCTAAGTTTGGATGGTATGGGTGGCTGCCATCACTGGGCAGTTCCAAGTGGATGTAGTAAAACGAGTTTGCGACATCTTCGCTGGTGACATTTTTGAGATGAGGTTTTGAGGTTGTCAAGATGACGTCTGCAGGGTTTCATACGTTAGAAGTTGTGATTGTGAGAGTGAAGATGAGAGAGAGAGACTTACCTCGCGTGCCGGGTACACGTGAGATGTAGAGTGTGAGGGGATCTTGACGTTGATCGGCTGGTTTGTGAGGGTATTGCGGGGGATTTGCGGCGAGGTAATTGAGCGAGGTCAGAGACCTAGCCTCAACTTGTGTAGACATTTTTATCAGAAAGAATCAATGTCTTTGTGTTCCGCTTCAAGTGTGCCCAAGCAGAGGGGCAGGAAGAGGTGGTTGCGAGTATATCTGGCTCGATGTAGGTTGGCGGAAGGATTTCCGGGTGGTTAAGTGTTTGTTGTGGTGGTGTGGTGTGGTGTGTGAGTGAAAAGGGTGGCTGAGCCAAGAGGTGATGTGAGGCGGGAGGTTCACAGCCCGCCCGCACTTGAAGAGTACTCAATAGGTACTCCCTTGTGCCTTATGGATACTCAACTCAAGGGCCAAATGCCGTGGACGACGGGGATGTGAGCAGCGAGCGAGAGGGGAGACCAGGGAGCTGGCGCTGTCAAATGTCACGGCTGGAGCTGGTGTGGGTCAGGAAAACGGGGTTGTGATGGAGAGTTTTTGTAAAAAGGTTGAGCTTAAATGAGGGAAAAGATTTACTTCATCTAGTAAATCTCACTTGGCTCGGTCTCTCTCTCGTTCGGTTTGTATACGGCGACGGGTGTGAGTGGTAAGTGTTGGTGGTGAATCTTTTGTTTGTTGGACACAATGCGAGTGAGATTGGTGAGTGTGATGAATTTGGCAATGCAAAAGTGAATTTCGGATGCAGAGCGCTGTAAAGAGTATCGCGTAGTCGGTGGTGGTGGATGAAATCTGAGCGAGATGTGATCAACCTGCAGCTGCAGGACGGGTGGTTGGGGGCGTTTGAATTAAAAGACGGCGAGGGCTGGACGTGGATGCAGTCTCGCAGAAAGACGAACGAGCAAGTAGAAGAGGGGCGAATGAGAGATACTAATATCGCGCGTGTGTTGCCTGGTGGGTACGAAGTACGGGTATCTTGCTGCTCGATGCTCCAGTTGTTTGCTCGCGTGTATTCGTAGAGAGTGGGAGTAAAGCGAGGGAGTGAGAAGTGGTTGGCTCGTTGTGCTGGCGATGAGGTGTACCTTACTTCGTTTTTTCTATTGTAAGTACTATGAGGCGAGTAGACCCTTCAAAGAAGAAACGAGAAAAATAGAAACGACGGGCAGGACAAGAGAAGCAAGTCCCCGGATCTGCAGTAGCGGCGCGGAAGGGATGTACGGGAATATGGTGCCTGGCGAGCCGCAAAAAAAGGGCCTGTCGTCTTCTCTCTTCTTCCAAGTTGGCAAAGACGAAAGCTCTCAAGTTGCTGGGATGTGTCGGCACTGTTTGGATCGCTTTCAACTGCGGAGACCGACGGTCCCTTGGTAAGAAGCGTGGAAGCGAGCTTTCTGCTTAATGCTTGTCTCTCTTTCTCTTTCTCTGTCGACTTGGCGGGTTGAGACTCATCCAATGGCAAAAACGAGTCGTAAGCTGGATGTGGCTGTGCTGTGCTGTGTTGTGCTATGCTGCGCTGGGCTGGGCTGCAATGTGATGAAAAGTAGCGAGATGGCGGCGCTGGTGACTTTGCAGCGCGGTGCTGTGTACGTGTCCGTTCCGTAACCTTGGTGATGAAAGGTCTTGAAGGTCGTCTTTCTTGGTGCCGGCGCCGGTGCGATGTTATTTGATTACTTCTGAAGCTTTTCTAAAGCCCGGGAGGGAGAGACTGTGCTCCCAATGCCGTGATGGGTTCGGAGTCAGCGACGGCACCTGAAAAGGCTGAAATTAATGATCTGGGCTTGACAGGGTCCAGAGCTTTGTCTTGTGAAATGAGAGTGGGCAGTTGGTGGTTTGTGCTGTTCTTGGCATGAGATGGGAAGATGAGGTTTTGAGCAGAAGTGAAGATGCTGACTCTGCGAGTTTGGTGGTGGGAGGCAAGCTCTTTCCCCTCTTTTCACGTCTCGATGCTTCAGAAGTTCAGTCTGAACTTTGTATGCATCGGAGAGTTGCGATATGCATGGAAGATCTTCTCGGGAGGATTTTGGGGGACTTGGGGCGGGAAGAGAGGGGGTTTGTGCTATTTTTTGCATCCTTTTCTTCGCGGAACTCTGCAGATTTCTAGTGTGGGTGACCTTCTGTACAACAATACACGAATAGCAGTAAGTGGGATGGCTAGACTATCCGTACGTACACGACTTGAGCACCTCAGTGAGAACTGAGCAGCCCTGCCATCTCCCATGCTTCAGCTCTTGCTTGAACTAGCGCCAGAGCTTCATCGAGGCTGATTGTGCTCCGTGACTGGCCACATAATGTCTCGCCTCTCACGCGGGATGACGACCAATGGTCTCGGATTCCCTCTTCAGGGTCCCATGAACGCCTGAGATTGTCCACAACTGAAACCAAACCTCCAAGTGATCGTGCCGCAGCCGCATTGAATATCACTACCTAGTGGTTCATATTTCATCTTCCCCTACACGAGTATATGTCGATGAGGGGATGCAAAAGTCTCTAGAGGGTTACATTCCTATGCGGGTAGGGCCAGGACATGCTGGGGACCAAGGGGCCCGAGCTGGGAGGAGCTTTCCCTTACGAGGATGTCCATTGCACAAGAGGTTTGCAGCCCATTTGACTCTGACGAATAAGCATATCCGCATGAAGATCAACGTCACTTGAAAGGCATCCACAGGCTCTCTGGAGCTGGGCAGTTAAAGCAGTCTCAATCTCAAGAGTCAGTTATCGTAGGGCTCAAGCGGGGGGGATCCCTTCATCACTACTCCCGATCCCATCCCCGTCTCATGGAAGGCCTTGCGGGTTGCTATCGAACAACTCAGTCATCTCTTCTAAGCACTTGGAAGTTCTTGAATGGCACAGTGGTTGGTAAGTTACGGCATGGCTGTACAAAGATTGGTTCAACAGCCAGTGCCCGTATTCCCGCATACATAGACAATAGCCGCCTCGAAACGTCAAGCATCTCACAATTGTGACGCACCGCACCGGATCTTCGGTCGTATCCACGTCAACTTCAAGGGTCCAGGTCCGCTGTGGCGTCGATGAGACTATATGGAGTACTGTGTAACTGTCCACAACCGCCCGCGCATAGGTACCGCAAGACCCTGGACACGGCAATGCCAGGGACCCCGACATTGCGCGTGTTGTCCCCTGTGCGTCGTGCCTGGGCCGTAGCTGGCTGACTGTGCCGTAGGAATGTCAAAAGACTTTGCGCTGAGCCACACTTGCGCCCCTGGAAAACTTGCCGTCTGCCATCTTTTGCTGTCTCGAATACCTTAAGTAAGCTGAGACTCTCCCCTATGTGGAGTCTAGCTTCGGCCTCTTCGCTGACTCGGAACTGAACATGCTGCCGACGAGCGAGGCATGTCCTTGCCGGCCAGCTGGCAGGTGGGAACTCGTCAACCTCGAAGGCTTGGGTCTCCCAGCTTCGTCTCGCGGACGTGGCTGACTGCTCACCTGTCGACCGTTCCAAGGCTTGATGGCCCCTATTTCCGCGCCAGCCGTTCTTTCGGTCACTTTGCGTGCACCACCTGTGCGCACACGATCATGATCACAGTGGGCGACGTTGACGATGATGTGTACGAGGGAGGTTAAGGTTGATAGTGATGTCACTCACCCCGGCTAGGTGAACATCAATGGAGACGGCCAGCTGGGTTTTCTTGTCTCTCTCTGCGCGCATCTGTGCTATTTTTCGCATTGTTCGTCACCAAGGATGTTGATCCGTGACGAATCCTATGATCTCACGCGACGAACACCTCCACTATCGCGGTCACTATGTGAATCCTCATGATCCAATGCCAGGGTGATAGCTTCGAGCACAGCCGGGCGTCCAAATGAATCCTCGCCTTCTTGGGATGGAGGTTGTGGTAAGTTCATACTGTGATGACTGTGTACACATGTCAGAATGGTCGAGTTATCAGCTACTGTCTGGTGAGAAGATCTGGCCATTGACATCGTCTGCTCGTCATTCCGGAGAATTCAAAGGGTCAATCAACGGCGATCTTGGGGTCTGGGGGATCCAAATAGGTGGGAAGAAAACCCAAGCGGACGGCACGGCAGTTCCCAAGTTTCCACCGGTCGCCAAGGAGGTTCCAAGACCGGTCCCGTCACCGCGCAACCAACTCGACTTGTGAAAAATTGGCCGTGTGCATGATGCATCCGGCCCCGTGCGTGCGAAACTACCGAAGACCGAGAGAGAGAGAGAAAAACAGAGTTTCGGCACCCGACGATGCGAGGTTGAAAATCTGCCCAGCACCAACACTTTAACTTTCTCTCTTGACTTATATCATTGTTCAAGTGTGAATCGAGTGCGAAAAACGTCCTCTAAAAGGAATTGAATACCGTCTCGTTGGATACAACGTTTCGACGTTTCCAAATGCTTACCGGCTGTTTTTCCCTATTCAGTCCTACTTTACTTTACCCCTTTGTTTTAAAGAAATTGATTGCTTACGTCACATGGCGGTTATCCGGCAGACGCCCACTTACAAGACCGGGTGGGAATAGTCCGTCGTTTCTCATTCGATTTTTCACTTGAGAGAGTCAGGGGCTCACTCTATTTATCAGTACTCACTGCGATTCATGACTTTTTTACTCATGTGGATGTGCTTGGCAGGCAAGTCGTGGGAATCGCTGCCACCAAATTTTACCTCAAACGCAAACTCATAAGACTATCACCTTCATCATCATTATCATCATCAGGGCCAAAGGCCAAGACAGAGTCCTTCTCAGACCAAAATGTAACATGCCCATTACTGACAATTGATCGGATACCACCCCGATATTGATGGTCCCTGCCGACACATGAGCCGCGCTACCACTGGTGGGAGAATGTACGACTCCAAAAGTAGATTGGCTTCGTGACATCGTGGTTCGGTCCAACTGCCGACTTGGCTTGTGGAGGATCCCAAAGAAGAATCTCTCCTTCAGATTTCCCCAGCATGAAGCTAAAGTCATGAGCTCTCTTCGGATTCGCTTTCCTTAATATGGCTAAACGGCACTGCGGGCGAAAAAGGTCATTCGCCTACGAAGCGCAAGATCCATTATATATTGTTCCTAACTTTCTAGAGTCTCCCAGTGAGAGTGTAGTATCCGCCATGAAAGCCTACCTTGAGACTTTTTGAAAGGGCAGTAATTTCCCGCCTATCGTACTCGGTTTGCCGCCACTGGCCCGACAAGTTGGGCCTTTCAAAGCTATAACGGTCTCAAATAAGGGGCCACCTTATTCCAGACTCGGCCGAGCATGGCAGGGCTCGACTCGGCTAGTGTTTCCAACAAACAACTACAACGCCATTTTGGCCCCTCTTTCACGACGATGGACCAACAGGAAAGATTCTTCCATCGAATCCAACAATGTTCCTCCGGAATTTTACATCCCATGTTCTTGTCGTCCGAACCGATCCACCACTCTACTTCGGGCCCCTCAACGTAGCATCCTCTGCCGTGACCCTAGTCTTGGTCCTCTTGGACGACAAACATACGCGATGGACTACTCCGTGTGCTACCGTACCCATCAGGAATCCGAATGGAGAACATCCCCGTCCATGCCAAAGTAGGCGGGCCAGAACACACTCCCTCTCCTTTTGGGAATCAACTGCGTTGCATCAAACTCCTCTCATCTCGTCAAGCGGCTCCCACGCTAGGAATGTTGGGGACTGAAAGGCCAAGACTCTGAATGTCCTGTATAAAGATGCCTCTCCTCGAGTGTCAGCCTCTTTAATCTTGGTTCTAGTCTCCAGCACATACGTTCACTTCTTCAGCCCTTTTCACAAACCTTTTACATTCGTTCTCCAATCCAGTCCTTCGCTTCTTCAAAACAAACCCACTACCGCAACAATGCAGTTCGCTACTTTCCTCTTGGCCGCCCTCCCGGCCACCACCATGGCCTTCCCCGGCCTCTTCCGCCGCGAGGAGCCCTCCAACAACGTCGCCAAGCGCGACTCCTGGGGCGGCGCCGTCTCCCTCGGCCCCACCACCTCCACCATCATCAACGCCGTCACCTACCTGACCCCCGGTGCTGCTCCCCCCACCCAGGCTGGTGTCCTCTTCCTCTGGCCCGGCATGTCCAACGGCACCGGCAACCTCGTCCAGACCACCCTCGAGTCGTGGCCCGACAACAGCTGGTGCGGTGCCGTCGCCGGCGAGTGGTGCGTCCGTGCCTCCGTCTTTGGCTCCTTTGGCCAGATCGACAGCACGACCTCTGCCCCCGTCAAGGGAACCCAGAAGATCAAGATCGAGTACGACCTCCTCGACGACAACGACACCTGGCGCCAGACCGTCACCGACACTGCCACCAACAAGGTCATCAGCACCCTCGACCACAAGGACGGCCCCTTCATGAGAGGATACGGAACCGGCACCGAGTGCAACGACGGCTGCACCGGTACCATTGCTGAGCAGATCTACTCCGACACCACCATCACTCTCTCCAGCGCCGATGCCAACTTTGGCAAGACCATTGGTGTCAGCCAGGGTGCCACCTACACCGGACTCGCTGCCAGCAACGGCAACAAGGTCTGGAAGATTGCCACCATCAAGGTCCCCAAGATGCAGTAAATGCATTAGCAACTTAAGCCTGCGGCTACTACAAGAAGGATTGGTTTCACTGTATATACTACATAGTCTTTGACAGACTAGGAAGACGTGCCCATGGCTGCTTCCAGGTTCCATAATTCAACCTCTTGCCATGCAATATGTTTGATCCGTCGCCGTGACCGACTTTTGTCGACAATTCGTCAACATTAAAAAGAACAAAGCCCTATCGCATATAGTATACAGAATATAAAACTTTGAATGACATGAATGATGTGTGAATTAAGCTTATGTTGTTTACCCCATCTGCCCGTGCTGAACTCAAATTAAGGTTTGGGAAAGAGAATGTGCTCTGATGATAACATTTAGTTTATGCTTCAATGAATCGTGTAGGTAGTGATGTGGCAAGTCAAACAAGGGCAGTCTTAAATAAACTGTTTCTTGGAAATCGGTATCTAGAAAGCAGATCAGCTTATTGCTCCAAAAGAGAACTTCCTACCATTGAGCAGCGTGAATATTGCCTGTCTTTCCGAAATTCGTGAAAATGACCGCGACGACCCTGTAGACTCGAGCAGGTATCTCAGCTAAAAAGCAAAGTTGCAAGATCAAGTTTTTTGCGTTGCTAACAATAAATATCGTCATAATCTTCACGTCAGGGATTCATATTGAGTTAATACAGATGTGAAATATGCTGTATTGGAACTACTAATCCAAAAAGCATACTAGGAACAAGATAGCATCGGTAAATACTCTCCAAATTTCTGTTTCGTTTACCTTCATTGTTTGAGAATAGAATGGAATTCATATTCAAGAAATACATTCCAGACATGTTTGTCGGATAAAACTCATATGCTATGTCTAAGACTCCAGCAGCCTGGATCAAGCGTTTGACGCGCATTTGGACTGGTCCTGAAATCAGCTCATATAGAAGTTTCCATCAAGACCATCCGTTTTCGTCGCTGGCCAAAACAAGACGGCGGGTTGAAAACCAAATATCGCGCCTCCGGTATCTCGGATGGCCACGACAATAACATCAACTTTTGTCAATGCCCTCCACTTTTCATCTATGCCAACAAGAGGCAGTATGCGCCACAATATAGACTGGTTGGTTCTGATACACTGTTGATCTTATGACCACCTCTGTAATAGTGGTCAGTCCAGACTGGAAGCCAACGTGCCTGTTTATGCTCGCGTTTGTATATTATGGACTCCAAAGATGACTAGCTGAGAAACGAGGTATTCAGTTACAGGTATGACAGAAAATGTCTAGTTGATAATCCCTAGATTAAAGACGCATCCTCCATGTGATATGTAGACACTCGAAGAAAGGTTGCTGTGATGTAGGTCATCATTGTCTCGGCATCTCGGTGTAGTGGTGAGGTACCTCGGTGTGTTGATAGTATGCACGGTCAGCGGCCAAGATGTCGTCAGACCACTAGCTGGTACGTACCATTCGGCTTTCCAGAGTCTCCACATCCCGCGATCTCGGACGCAGGACTGCACCTGCACGTCAAGCTTCCTCCAAAAAAAAAAAAAAGAGTGCCCGTCCGGCAGACAAACTCCAGCACGCTCCGCAGATCCTCCTCCTCCTCCTCCAAAATGTCGACCGCGACGAGTGCCACCGCGGCGACCAAGGATGAGTCGCAGCCCGTCAAGAAGGGTGGACCGACGGTCCTGCGATCCATTCTGGCTGGATCTACGGCCGGCGCTGTTGAGATTGGTGAGTCCCTCTACTCTTTGCGGTGCCCCGATGACGCACCAATATAGCACAACAAAAAGCTGACTCTCATGACACAGCCATCACGTACCCTGCCGAATGTAAGACGACCACAACCGATTCCCCAACTGCGATTGACACTCTAACCCTTCCTCGACAGTTGCCAAGACCCGGTCGCAGTTGAACCGAAACTTGGGCGCCGGACAGAAGCTGCCGTGGCCGCCATTCGGCGCGCAATGGTACGCGGGATGCACCACGTTGATCATTGGAAACTCGCTCAAGGCGGGAATTCGTACGTGAAGCAGCTATCCCGGGGCAATTGTCTCGTGCTTGCTGACGCCCGATATACAGGATTCGTTGCCTTTGACCAGTACAAGACACTCCTCTCCGACGCCGACGGCAACATCTCTGGCCCGAAGACGGTCATCGCCGGCTTCGGCGCCGGTGTGACAGAGTCGGCCCTTGCTGTCACTCCCTTTGAGAGCATCAAGACTACGCTGTGAGTCTTTTTCTCCGCGCCATCAATGGCACTCCATCATTGCTGACAACGTGATCGCAGTATCGACGACAAGAAGTCTGGTAAGCCGCGAATGAAGGGTTTCCTCAGCGCCGTCCCCATTATTGCCCGCGAGCGCGGTCTCCGCGGATTCTTCCAGGGCTTCGTGCCTACGACGGCTCGCCAGGCGGCCAACAGCGCTGTCCGGTTCAGCGCGTACAACGCCCTCAAGCAGATGGCCGAGTCCTACACGGCACCGGGGGAGAAGCTGGGCGCCGTAGGCACGTTTGCCATGGGCGGCATTGCGGGATTAATCACAGTCTACGCCACACAGCCCCTCGACACGATCAAGACGCGCATGCAGAGTATCACGGCACGGCAGCAGTACGGCAACTCGTTCCGATGCGCTGCCATGATCCTGAAGCAGGAGGGTGTCTTGACGTTGTGGAGTGGGGCGCTGCCGCGTTTGGCGCGTCTTGTGGTGAGCGGCGGTCTCGTCTTCACCATGTACGAGAAGAGCATGGATCTCATGAATAAGGTCGACCCTGAGGGAAGATACATCTAAGAAGGACTTGCTACAGAATACAATGGCGTTGAGGTTCTAGGTTTTGTCTTGTTTTGGTATAGATAGTTCCACTATACAGGGTACAGATTTTGTACAAGATATGGTACATAGGGCCTAGACAATCATGTCAAGCATGCCCCTGCTATGTAGAAGGCTTCCTTTCCGCTGTTGGATGCCATTATTGGTGGTGCCTTGTGTTTGTGTGTGTGTCGTCGTTTTCTTGTGTTGTTCTTTCTTTATTCCATCATCATTGAAGCCTGAACATGCCTGACAGCTTCTTGGACATGTTTTGTAGCCATCCTCGCGTCGGGGCCTCCTCGAGCTCTCTCAACAGGTCTTGGAAGTATGTCGGCTGGCTTTCGGGCTTCAACAGCTCGCCATTGAGGGGGAACTATGCGATGTATGTTAGAGGTTTGCAATTACAGACGAGAGGTCTTGGTACAGCTTACCCTCTTCTTGAAGCGATCGTCGGTGAGGGCAAACATGGCGTTGGCCTGCTTCAGCTCCTTGGCCTCGTCAACGACATTGGGCTTGGTATACCTCCTCTCGATGCCTCTCTGGATGATTTCGCTGAATTGGGTCTCGGGGCGGAGGTTGTCCTTGGGCCACAAGGCAAGGGCAGACCTCATGTGCTTGTACGCTTGCTGTGGGAGGATGGTGTTAGTGAGGGTGACGCGATGGTTGGGAAGGGCGTGAAGGGAGGCAGAGAGGAGAGACATACACTCGTTGTGCGCGACATGGCGGCGATATTGGGATGAATTAGAGAATGGTGGTGAGTACCGAATGCCGTCTACCTTATCATGGTCTCACCGCGGGGCAATGAGGCAGCAGTGGATAGATAGAGGGGGTGGGTGCGGCTGTGGAGGGCGAAAGTCGCGGTAGCTTTAGAATCCCATCAACGACGTCAAGGATTTCGCATCAGATGGCAGGCCCGGCCGCAGACGTCGAAGAATTCATTTCGTCGGAGCTAAGGGAATGCGCTGCATCGGCGCTTACCGAACTGGTCAAAGTGGAGACGAGATGGCAAAAGACGTGAATGGCATTGGGTGGATTGCTCAGACGACTGTGATTGGAGGGATAGATCTCTAGTGGTCAGGGGGTCCGATAGGTGAGGTGGACCGAAGGGAGTGGGGCACGTGTGGAACCAGGGAGTTGGCCTACCTTATGCGCATGACTCCTGCCTGAGGCATTAGTTAGTACGTACCTATCTGTTGTCTTTGTCAGCCACCCAGACCACCAAAGAGGCAGCCATTGACAGTCAAGCAGTCACCGTTGTGGCAGCCCAGATTCCCGCAGCGGACTCGGAGCAACACAGAATTGACCCCCGTGCCCCCTCAGTCTCAATTTGTTCCAGCACATTCCCGCGGATAAGGTAAGGTACGAGTACGTATACGTAACCCCCATGGCCCCCTAACAGTGACACTGAGAACTGTCTCCACCTCCACTGCCACAGGGGCTTTTTAGCGTTAGAGTCGTATCTTAGGTAATCCACTTCACCGCAGCGAGACGAGGCGAAGCGAAGCGAACCAGCGACAGACCAGCACCCGGGTCGTGCGACAATCCCGACACTCCTGACCACCTCCTCCTCCTGTATTCGTACACCATACACCACCTAAGGAAGGGTATCTTATAGCGTACTGCTACGCCTTGACTGACTCTCCGACGTTCATCACCACAGACGAACCGAGCCAACGTTGATGGCGTAGTCCTTTTTCCTCCGAACCAACACCCTTTTTTTCTTCAGCACAACACCACCATCGTCGTTCCTTTTTGTCGCCTCACCCCTCCGATTTCGCCTACGATCCTCGCGAAACGATTTCTCGCCTTTTTTCCTTTTCATTTTCCGCCCTGTTCCTTTCGAAGAACCGCCTCCGTATTCCCGACTTCTCCTTACCTCCAACGCCTCTTCCCCCCCCCCCCCCCCAATTACTACACAGCGCTAGCCGTCTTTTCCCCCAGTGGCGAAAGGGGCGCCCCGAGTCCTACGGTTTCAAGACAACGAAATAGAGAAAGAGAAAACAAAAACATTACACAACATTCGTCAAGATGGCTGGACGTTATGAGCGGGTATGTTGTGTCCCAAACCCGACACTTTTCCTTTCCCATTCTCGTTGTGGTTCGCTGACAGTGTACTCCTTGCAGGTAAACGCCCAAGACGAGGACGACTTCAATAGCCCCAACTCCGCACCGCCAAGTCACGCGCAAACAGTGCCAAACTCTCCACCCCCGTCCTTTCACTCGAGAGCATCATCGCGCGATCGTGCCGCCCATGGTGTTGACTCTACCCTCGCCGACGCATTCGATACCGATGGAGACGAAAGCGATGACGACGCCGACGACAGGCAAAGATTAGTCCGCGCCGACTCCACCCTGACCTCCCGCGACACGTCCCGCACCGTTTCCTCCGAGTCAAGACCCCAGCCCGATAGGCAGGTCACCCAGCTTCCTCCCACCACTGCATCGGCAGCAGCAGGCGGACCTACGACGCCATTCCGCATTTACGGCAGCGGTATCCAGAATGAGGGTGTCTTTTCCAACTTGACGGCGAAGCCTGAGCGGGGAGGCGAGACGAAGGAGGAGCAACCTCCGGTACGTTCAATCCACTGCCACCACTTCCACATCTTGCATGCGGAAAGACGGCAAACATTTTTGAAGAACATGATGTACTGACCAGACCTATAGACGTATGAACAAGCCGCTGCTGATGCTGCACCCCCCTACTGGGAGACGACTATCCTAGCCCCAGGCCTCGGCGGACCCGACGAAGTCTACATTGATGGAATGCCCGTCGGATCTCTTTTCAGTTTTGTCTGGAACGGCATGATTTCCATGTCCTTCCAGGTTGTCGGCTTCATCCTCACATACCTCCTCCACTCGACTCACGCGGCCAAGAACGGTTCCCGTGCCGGTCTGGGCATTACGTTAATTCAGTACGGTTTCTATATGAAGGGCACAACGGAAGGCGACCACCCGCCCAAGATGAACGGCCAAGACGGATACGCGGCACCGCCGGACCCGAACTCTCACAGCTTCGACCCCAACGCGGTTACGGGAGAGGGCGGCGGTGGTGTTTCGGACATTACCGGACAGGAGTGGATTGCGTACATTTTGATGGTTGTCGGATGGTTCGTCCTCATTAGGTCTGTTAGCGACTACCTGAAGGCACGGCGTCACGAGCAGCTCGTTTTGCAGAGCCCCGACCGTGGACTGCCTGTGCCCATCATCGCAGATGGCGAGTCGTCCGAGAGAGTGGTATAGCATTGGCGTTTTCGTGTGTCACAGCGTGACGAAGCGCAGTCAGTTTTTTTTATGTTTCAAAGTGGTTATCGGTCTGGGCCACGAGTCTACGACGTTTGGCATCTCACGCCTTTTCTTTGCGTCGTCAAGTGGGTTTTGGGTGTTTTACGGGAACGGAAATGGGAGCAGGGTAATCTACATAAGGAAGCACAGCAGCAGCTTTCATTCTCGGCATCAATATTGAGGTTTTCTTGGGTACATTACATTCGGGTGTGTCTGATTTACACACGCAACCACAACCGTGACAACGGAATGCTATTCTTCCATACTTGGGTACAAGATATGATGCTCCTTGGATTCCACAGGGCGGTAGAGGCATCTCTTAGTGCTTGCGGCGGGATGATCCGCTTTGTAGGCGGGGTCAACAAGAGAGTTTCCAGGTTGTGAGCTCCCACTTACCCAGGCAGTCTGAACTCCCTGGGTCGCTTATCGACAAGGTTTGAGAGCGCGGGGGATCAACCCACCTCCACCATATTCGCGCTATACCAAGCGCTGTAGCTTTAGCTGTAGCTGTAGCATATCCTGAAGTCCGTTACCTCATGCTGGAAATGGAACTGAATCACCTTCGCCTTTGATTGTCATCTTTGATCTTTCCAACGCACTCATCTTTCTTCCCTTAACAACATCTTCTCGCACACCCTCTACCCAGAGACTTCTTCGCTTCCCTTACCAGACAAAGCGAACTAATATTCCACCACTTAACCCAAGCAAGGACCCGCCACAACGAATACCAGACGCCCTTCAGTCCGGAGAGCTCTTAAGCTTCTCCCGAGCTCAACACGACGACAGACCCCTCGCTTTCTACACCAGACCCCCGCCCCCAACTTCAAGATGGCCTGGCGAAGCTCCGGCGCGACGAACAAGGACCTGGTCGAAAACATGTGGCGGCACGGCCTCATCAAAGACCAACGAGTTAAGGACGCCTTTCTCAAGGTACCTCACCTTTGAAGCTTTCCCGTAGTCACTGCCACAGATGGCTGCTCTGACCTGCTATCTAGGTTGACAGAGCACACTACGCTCCCGCTGCGCCGTACGAAGACTCACCCCAGTCCATAGGCCACAAGGCCACCATCTCGGCACCTCACATGCACGCCAGCGCGACCGAGTCTCTCCTCCCGCACATCCTGCCCTCCGAGACGAGGCCCGCGCCGCGGGTGCTGGATGTCGGGTCCGGGTCGGGATACCTGACGCACCTCCTTGCCGAGCTCGTGGGGGACAAGGGGCTCGTCGTTGGGCTGGAGCATATCCAGGCACTCAAAGACATGGGCGAGACTAATATGGCCAAAAGTGTCGAAGGGAGAGCACTTCTGGACAGCGGCAAGGTCAAGTTCCGGGTCGGTGACGGACGGAAAGGCTGGGTGGAGGCGCCGCGGGACGGGGAGGCGGGTGATTCCACGGGGTGGGATGCCATCCACGTTGGTGCTGCTGCGGCGGAGCTTCACCAGGAGTTGGTGGATCAGCTCCGGGCGCCTGGAAGGTGAGTTGGGCGAGAGCACTGTTGTCTAGTAAACCAATGCTGACTCTAAGGCAGGATGTTTATCCCCGTCGAGGACGACATTAGCTACGATCAGTACGTTTGGGCCATTGACAAGAAGGAGGACGGGTCTGTTGTGAAGGAGAAGCTATTTGGGGTTCGATATGTACCACTGACTGATGCTCCCAAGGCATGACTTTACGATACCGAGCCAAGATGCAACGTTTATATTCGAGATACCTCATGAACAATAATACTGGAATTTTCTCTTCAACTTGCGTACCAGGAACACCAGCTCTCAAGTAAGATATAGACTTACACTGCGTGTCATACTTTGACCGGCGCACGCCTCATTCAGTCTGCAGAACATCCACATCCATAGGTTTAATACTTCAACGTGTGTTGACCCTGGTAGATAGCATCGAAAAGTGCCGGGGTTGCTCTAATGGATCCCCAGAGACAGTTGATCTGTCTAGGGCCTGCGGGGACCCGAGCTGCATTAGTGGCCACCACGAACACCGCCAGCAACATGCCTTCACCTCCGCATCGGCCAAGCCATATCCTGTGTAGTACAGACACAGAGAGACAATGAGGCTCTTGGAAACCGCCCACGGGTTACAACCGCTCGGGAACTTTGTTATCTACGAAGGAGACAATGCGCCAGACTTTGCCATCCTCTCCCACACGTGGGGAACGGAAGAGGTTACACTGCAAGATGTGCACGATGCTAAAAAGGACATCAGACTGATGGCCGGATACCCCAAGATCACCGGAGCCTGCCGACTTGCCCAGAGTCAGGGGTACGACTACATCTGGATTGATACGTGCTGCATCGATAAGACGAGCAGCGCCGAATTGTCCGAAGCCATCAACTCCATGTTCAACTGGTACGAGCAGGCCAGTGTTTGCTACGTCTACCTCTCTGACTTGGACTACTCGATATACCAGCAGCCCGGCATGTCTGCTCCGTTGGAACTGGCGCTGCGCGAATGTCGATGGTGTACTCGCGGCTGGACACTCCAGGAGCTCATCGCCCCCGACAACGTTGACTTTTACGACAAGAGCTGGCACCTCGTCGGCTCCAAACTCGACGAGTCACTTGGTCCCGCGCTGGCAAACGTCACGGGGATCAGTCTCGATATCCTGAACAAGGCCGTACCCTTGGAGTCGTCGAGCGTCGCCGAGCGCATGCACTGGGCCTCGTCCAGAGTCACGACCCGGAAAGAGGACTTGGCCTACAGCCTTATGGGCATCTTTGGCGTCAACATGCCGCTGCTGTACGGTGAGGGGATGAAGGCCTTTGCGCGACTGCAGGAGGCCATACTCCAGGATACGGGAGATCATTCCATTTTCGCGTGGCACAGCAACTACGAGACGTCAACGCAGGAGGCGGCATTTGACCAGCATATCCTCAGCGGCCTGCTGGCTCCGTCGCCGGTCGAGTTTTCCCAGTTTCAGTACCTTCGCCCGTTGCCGGCGTTCGGGACGACGGGGCAGCAGCCGATCCAGCTTACGAATCAGGGGATTAGGATATCCATGTACCTTGAGCCTGTGGACGATGAACAAGGCGGCGGCGGCGGCGGCGGCGATGGCAGCGCGGCGGACGACTTTTACGCTGTTTTGGACTGCGCTATTCAGGGCGAGAACGGGGATCAGTGTCCGCGCATCATGCTGAGGAAGTTATCGGGGAACCAATACGCCCGGGTCCGGACGGGGAGTGTATGCACGGTTATCCCGGCGCCGGATTCGACGAGGCCGGGGCGGGGTAGCTACAAGACTGTCTTCGTCAAGCGGAGCCCGGCGTATGTTTTACCGGATATCTCGGTCCTCAAGGCGGGGTGGAAGGCGAGTGGCCTCCGGGAGGCGTACCGGGTTGTTGATTCGTATCCCACGGGGCCGTGGGTGCCGAGTTTGGGAATCTTGAGGACGGGGAACCCTCATTTCGAGCCGGTGCTTGCTGGGTTGAGGTTTGAGTCGCCCACGAACCCGCGGATTCAGGTTGATGTAGTCGTCGGGTGGAGGAGGGTGGATGGGGAGTGGAAGGTGTGGTGTCATGCTTGTGAGACGCAGGCTGATTTGGGGGTTGATGTGCTGTGGAGCGACACGCAGTTTGCCGTGTCTGGTGGGTTGGATCAGTTTGTCGAGACGGATGTGGAGGTCACGGTCAAGGTCGGTGGAGTTTTTGACCGGAATTGGAGGAGTAGGGGGTCCGCTCAGGTTAAGAGGCATGAGGTTCCTGTGCGCGTGAGGTTGGTGGAGGTTGATAGGCTGGGGAGGAAGGGGGTTAGAATCGAGTGTTGTGCGCCGTTGCAGCCGCATGTTCCTGGGTATTAGAAGACGGGGCTTTTGCCGTGGGACGAATATGATTGACTCATCATGAACTCTGGATGCAGTGATTGTGATATCGTGAATGATACGTCGAGGTTCAAGCGTGGTGATGGGATGCGGATCGGAAACGTCACCATGGACTTGGATCAGATATCTTTGGGTCTGATAGACTCTATGAGACCATCATCATACCGACATGTCAGATGTCGCAGGGTACCCAGAGATAGCGATACGCCAGAGAATAAGAGGGAAAATGGTAATCAATATTGTAAAGTGACAAAAACGAGGGCAGGTTCCCAGACCATCCACTCCTCGGCCACGTCGCAAAAAGGACGCACGCAGCCTACCCATCCAGTAGTAACCCAAAAACGCCTCATAAATCATAACATCATCTCAAATCTGATTCTGTTCTTCCTCCTTTGCGACATCCGCCTGCCTCGAGTCCATCACCCCGCTTAAATGCGTATACGCTATTACAACGTTGCCAATCTGCGGCATGTGCTTGATGCTCAAAAAGGCCTGGCCGTGATCCATGCCGGCCAGGTACATGAGCTCCAGCTCCCCTTTCCCGCTCCACCTCTGAGGCGTCGTCGCCCACTCAGGTTTGTCGTGCCGCGTGTAGTTGAGGTCGCCAAAGTAGACGTAGCTGGCCACGGCGTCTGGGTCGGTGACGCAGTCTTCGCCGCCGAGGACGACGGTGGTGCGCTTTCCTTGTAGCTGGGGCGTCCAGAGGATAAAGTCTTGCCAACGGAAACGGCGGGCAAGGGTGTGTGCGACCATGGGGTCTGTGGCGACGAACCAGATTTCCCATTCGTTGCCCCATTTCGGTGTGCGCCGTGTGAAGTTGTAGGCCACGGCGGGGAGGTGGAGGAGCAGTGATACGGGGTCGATGAGGACAATGGAGTTGATCTTTGCCGCAATGTCGGGTCTTTGTAACAGCGGAGACATGAAGAGCGTGCCAAAAGAGTTTCCAACAAAGACAAAGTCATCGTAGTTTTGCTGCTTGATGATGGCATCTATGCCGTCGACGAGCTCCTTGGTTGTCTGCAGAGGGGGACAGATTCGGGATGAAACGGGGAGAATCTCGATGCATAATACACCAACGTCCTTTGGAATGCTCCAGAGCCATAGTAGGTACGGGAGCATGCCGACGCCGACGCCGTGCATGAAGAGGATGGGACGCTTGGTCTCTGACGTGTGCGGGCGGCAGAAATAGCTCAACTTCGGGTCGGCAGACTCGTTGGGCGAGAAGAGGGTCATGGGCCGCCATGGGAAGACGGAGAAGAAGGTGTTGCGTGGTTGACGGTAGAATTTGAAGCCTCTGATAAAGAGGACGAGGGTTGCGAAGAGGTCAAGGGTACCGGTGGTCTTTTGAATGTGTTAGTCTCTTACCCGGACTAGTTGAGGACGATGTTAACTGCAATATCACTTACAAGGTAATACATTAAGCTCCGGTGGGTTATTGTAATAGAATCAAAACTGAGGCGCATCGGTGTTGCGTCTCCGAAGCCTCTCTTGATGTTGACTCCGGCCCGCTCTTCGGTTTCCGCAATGTACTCCTCGAGTTCCTCGTCGTGTTCTTGCGGGTTGCCTTGCTTGTCGAACAGTGCCCACATCAGCCAGTCTTTGACATTTTCTCTGCGAATATCGCCGAGCTGGGCGTTGCAGTGCCATTTTCGGATATACTGTTCGACGTCGGGTGCGTGATCCAGTCCCTGGTAGAAGAACCGCCGACGTTCTTCCTGGCTTAGAGGCTCCGGCTGTAGACCGGGTTTCTGTAAACGACGGCGATATGGCACGAACCAGGCAAAGTAAAAGATGATTTCAATGGCGCCAACGACTTCGATGAGGATGGATACGGGATGAGCGATGCCGGGCACACCAGCGAGGGCGAAGATGAACCAAAAGTAGAGGAAGCAGAGAAATCCGAGGTACTGGAAGTATATGACCATGGATCTCACGAGGATGAGTTCCGGAACCGACCTTCCCACGAGCATTTTGTATTAGAGAATGCTGGACGGGGCTAGTGCCTAAGGTAGTTGCGTATAAGAGAGCTCTCTTCGATCCGTCAGAGTCTCTTGGCGTTGACGACGTCTGTCAAGGCCAAGTCAAGATGACTGTGCAGCGGCATGCTGCGATCTTAATACGACGGACAGTTCGAATCGACAAGCCTGGGACCCGCGTCAGAGATCTACGAAACGGCATGGGCCCGGCCTGCAACATGGATGTATCTGGCCGAGGGTGGTTCCCTTTCGCTTTGTCTACGCTTGTGATTTGAAGGGCACAACGGCCATTGGTAAGGGCCACAAACATGCTCAAACCGAACAGAACCCTCCAGGTGCGTTCCTTGTTGTCCGGGCACTGCCTTGAAGCCTTGGACTGTGGAAAGGCAGATTGCGAATGAAAGTTGGGTGATGGAATCGGACGAAACTCAAACCGAAGCGACATGGTGCCACCTCTCAACTGGAGGATTAGTCGTGTGGACTCTTTCGCAGGCTGAGTTCCCTCTCTTGGGTTGTAGGCAAGTGTTCAACGCTCCCACCAATGCCACGCCGAAACGTCACAGTCTGTGCTGTTAAGTTGGGTTGGGGAAGTGAGCTGCGAGATGCTGCAGGGACTTGCTTGTCTCAAGGGTGGGTAGCAAAGTCGTTATAGATCAGGGAGTGATCGGTGAGCTCGAAGCCAATTGCCCGATCCAGTTCTGTACGATGCATTCGCGTGAGGGAGGCGACGGGGGTTGGCTGGTAGCGTGTAAGCTGGGGACAGTAGTGGGACGTGGCAGGTCGGGTCGACATGTGCCATCTCGAGTCGCATAGGTGTCGTATTGCGAAGACGAGCAGAAGTTCATGATGCGTCAAATGTGTGTGCACGGATTCGAGAATACACTCTGGTAGTGGAAGTCAGAGTTGGCCAAGTAAGGCCAGTCAGTTGGGAAGACGAGAGAGTGAATGGCCGGCCGTAGGTTCGGAAAAGATGGTCTGTGTCAGTGAACTATGACCACGCTTTGGAAAGTGTGTTGGATACAGCAAACTTGAGAAGCTTCATCTTGGGAGGCGCAGGGTTTCGGTGATGGAGACTCTGAGAGAGTGGAAGATGTCAGTAGAAGAGCATTGGAGCATTGGATGTTGACGATGGGATTCGAGTCGGATTGTCCAGGGACTTCTCTCCAGCCGGATTTGGAATGCGAGTCGACCCGCTGCCTTCCCAACCAGGCGGCCCTGCCAGTCCGTGTCCTAACTGGACTGAGACTAGCGTCAAGCCACTGGGCTCGAATCCCGTGCAGAGACCCACACCCCTGATCCACACCAGGGTCTATGATTCCGATAAGAAAAAGGTGCCTTGACCCACTATGTTGATCAGAGCATTCCGACTGGACGCCACCAGACTGAGCGGAGGAATATTCCAACCGTATTCCAGCCCTGTGGCCGTGTGGCCTCTTTTGGAGGCATTTCCTTACCCCAAAACAAGTACCGTGGCAGTTGGCCTCGATTCCCCCAAACGCTGCCGCCTACTAACATGTAAGCCATACACGCATATACGGCGATTCGGCCTAACTATGGACTTTCACGGCCCCGTGTGGCTTGCGGACTTTGCATCGAAATCGTGTCCTTCGAGGTCCCCAAGCGGTATTCAAGCGGACTTCTGGTAGGATAAAAAGGCGATGGAGGTCTCGCTTTCCAAGTGGAATCTGAAGACTTGATCATCATTCTAAACCACTACTTTCAACTCTCATCGAACCAGTCTTACCTTCTAGGACAAAAATAATCTTCTTTTCATCTCTTGTCGATCCCAAACACCTCAGTGGAACCGATCTACCAACAACCCCCCGGCCCCGATCCGCCATCCCGCACCTGGTCTCACCTCTCGCATCCGTACTCGGTTCCGTCCCGAAACCCCATCACCTAGGCGCTTACACGGCACGGCACACCACGGATCACTCGCCGACCATGTCTTCCGCAAAGACCATTCTCTTCCTCGGAGCCACTGGCGGCTGCGGACTCTCGGCTCTTCGCCGCTCCCTCGACGCCGGCTTCACATGCATCGCCCTATGCCGCACTCCGTCCAAGCTGACCTCCGTCCTCCCGTCCGAAAAATACCCCAACCTCCGCATCGAACAAGGCAATGCCCACGACGCCGACGTGATTTCCCGCTGCGTCGTCTCGCCCCTTGACGCAACCCGCTTCGTGGATGCTGTCGTCTCCTCCATCGGCGCCTGGTTTGAGCTGCGCAAGATGAACCTCGAGGACGTCAATGTCTGCGAAAAGGGCATGACCGTCTTGCTTGACGCTATCAAGAAGCTGCGCTCTGAAAAGGGCGTCTCTGGACGGCCGCGCATCATTGGACTCAGCAGCACTGGCATTTCCAAGTTTGGGAGGGACACGCCCCTCGTCATTCAACCTCTCTACAAGGGCCTATTGCACACCCCGCACATGGACAAGAAAGCCATGGAGGAACTCCTCTTTGCGAGTGGTGAAGCCTGGACAGTGGTGCGCGCCAGCTTCCTGACCAACGGAAAGGAGCAACCCGCCGGCACGGTCCGGGTTGGCGTCGAGGATCCCGTCAAGGGTGTTGAAGAACTGGCCATTGGGTACAGCATTGCCCGTGAAGATGTTGGCAAGTGGATGTTTGAAAACATCTTGCAAAAGGATGGGGACGACAAATATGTTGCCAAGGTTGCAACTGTCACCTACTAATCACCACTAGGCTGTTGTGTTTCGTTTCGCTTCTCACCATGTTCTTGCTTGGCTTCACATAGACATCTCCTTTCAATACCCTTGTTTTGTATGCTCTGCTTGTTTCATCACTAATTGTCGACTACGAATTACCTCTAATACAATGTTTTGATACGCTTCCTGCTTCCCATCGTGAAACTGATTCCGGCTTGAAAAGGCCCGGGGCATGTCGCTGTTCGCTGGTTTCCAATCGAGACTTTTATCGTCTCCGTCCGCCCTTCAACTTGAGTCATCTTCCAGGAGGCCCATATTGCGCTTAATAAAGTAGACGAGCTGATCTATGCTATCAGGCTCGGTGATCCAGTGGCCGCCATATTCGTATTCGTGCCATTCGACTTCTTTCAAGCCTACGTTGTGTAGCGCCTTGCATAGAGCTCTTCCGTTTTTCACCGGAACCGTTGGGTCGTTGCGGGCGTGGGAAAGGAAGATCGGCGTGTGTGCCATCTGGTAGTTCACATCACCACACTTTATCTTCCACTTGCCATCATCGCCGCCAAAAAGACCTGGTGGGATTTCGTAGGGCGAAAGGCCTGGGTAGGCCCAGCTAGCGTAGCCAATAAGGCCGGCCAAGGCTTTACAACCTATCAAGTAGGCCGCGACAGCTGTTGCGAATCCCTGGCTGATACCGCCCAGGAAGATCTTGTCGGGTGACACCAGGTGGGATTCCCCGTCGATGAGGCGGTTGATGAAGTCGACGCTTTCAAACAGGCCCGGTTCTTGCAACTCTTGTTGCTCGTTTGGGTTCTCTGTAGACCACATATCGAACCATTGGGTCATGTCCGTCTTGAAACGTTTTGATGGGATCGACGGTGCGCTGGGGAAGACCCATCTGAAGGTTGGGAACAGGGCTTGGAGGGTTCGAGGGGGTGGTGGCGCTGGTGTGTCGTCCAGGGGGTTATTGGGTTGTTCAGGGCCATCGGCCAGGATTTGTGCCAGGGCTTCCGAGACTTCGCATTCAAAGAACTCATCTGCAAACTCTTTGCCGTTACTGCCTCTGCCATGGAGGAGAATGACGGTGTGCGTGTGCTCGTAGCCCGGGGCAGGGTCCAGGTGGAAAACGTCTGTGAGGAATGTCATTGTACGGATAGATGTGCTGACAATAATAGGTACCGTTCAGATTGATGTTGATCAAGAGTGGTGTATTCCCTGTTCCAAACGAATAGTGTCGGTGGTGGTGAATTTGCAGATAGGTTGGCTGGTGGTTGGGGGGACGGTCAGGAAGTTGTCCCCTCCACCAATTAATTGCCAGTCACTAGGGTACCTCAAGGTACATGCCTTCCTCCGCTAGAAATGCACCTGCCTCGCTGTGCTTCCCGGGCGCTTCTTGCCGAGTGTACCTTCCATGATGCCCCTTGTTATGCTGCGGAAGGTACCTGCCTCCCTTAATGGGATTCAACAGACTCAAGGTACCTTGTCATGTATCTTCAACATGGAGAGTTATCGAGAAAGGGGGCTGCAAACACATCAACCGAGTATCCTAAGACAAGGTATATTAAAGTGATATTCTGGATTGCCTTTCTTTTTTTAGAAGTGATTGTCGAAAAGCAATCTCCCAGTCGTCGTTTGAGTTTAGACAATAAACCCACAAACACGACCTGCCCGACCTTACGCAACCGGGACATGTGGTGTACTTTGCAAATCATCCAGACGCGACAATCCTACTCCCTCAACATCGTCTGCGAATAAGACCAATAAATTCTTCCTTTGAAGCTTCCGCAAAGCAGTCGAACGTCTTGCTATTTACGAGAGCGAACTTATAAGCACGTGGAACCGGCCAGTATGGTGTCGCTCGCGCCAGAACTGTTGCACATCATCGGACAATACCTTGCAAGTCAACATTTCGAACCTAAAAACACGTTGAGGCCCTTTCGGATGTGGTCTAACTGCCATTACCGTATGGTACCAACAGGCGACCAACAAGAAGACATTGAGGGCTTTGTGTCGCGTCAACAAGGCATTCAAAGATGCATTCAGTGAATTCCTCTACGCCGAGGTCTATCTGGGCTACAATCACTTCGTCAAGGACGACCCTCCACAGAAATGGCTTGTCAAGGAATCCCCAGAAACCCGCCGTATAAAAGTCATCCACTTTCGACCCAAGAGTTCTCTAGGTAGAGAGAAGCCTTGCATGTATATTATGACTCTCAGAATCTCTCAGTCTCTTTCCTCAGCTAGGTAGCTTGTCCAACTACCAAGGTTGGATACCATCCTTGTTCACAACCTTGCCGACATCAGCATCCCGCTCACCCTCAACAACCTGTTGAATCAGCCTGCCTCCCTGGCTCGGCGCACCCGCACCCATCTTCTTCAGCGCATCCGGATTTCCTCCTAAACCTGTAGCTAGGAAACCGGGGGAGATGCACCAAACTTTGACCCCGTCTGCCTTGAGAAGCCAGTGCCAGTTCTGCATGACCATGTTCAACGCAGTCTTACTAGACCGGTATCCGGCTTGAGGGGTGTAGGGTTTAGGCCAGCCGGCAGCCGTCACGGTGCCTGGTTGGAACGGGAGCAGACCGGCGCTTTCGATGCCATTGAGAGTGGATAGTCCGCTGGTGACGAAGAGAAGACGAGGGTCGGAAGATTTGATGAGAAGAGGGGCAAAGGTGTGGGTTATGACGTGTGTTCCGGATGTGTTGACGTCGTATGACTTGTTCATGTTCTGGCGAATAGCTTTGATGTCCTCGGGGTTGTAATTGTGAGGCCCGAAATCATGAGAGGCGCCTAGAAGTTATCCGTCAGACTTATTCTTGGGTCGTGATTGTATCTTGTCCTGGGATAAAGACTTACCGGCGTTGTTGATCAGGACATCGAGCAGCTCATGCTTTTCTTTGACACTCTTGAAAGCGCCAATGATCGAATCATCATCGGCTACATCCACTTGAATAACCTCCAAAGAGCTTTTGGTGGATGGGAATTCCTTCGTGAGTTCACCCAGAGCAGCTTCGCCTTTTTCGAGGGACCTTGATCCGATAATGATGTGGTATACCCTGTCGGACTGCAGCAGAACCTTGACTGTTTCATAGCCGATGCCGGTGTTGGCTCCGGTGATGAGGACGATACGCTTAGAAGACATGGCCGGTTATCTTAGATGGCTTGGTTTATCGGTGAAATGGGACTGTATATAGAAGAACAAGATGTTGTCTAGAAAACAGTAGACTTCCAGCCCTTTTATCCCTCCGCATTGCAGCATGTTTCTAGCTTGAGACAGCTTCAGCCCTAGTCAACGCGCCCGGAGTTAGGCTTGACGGAGAGTTTTATACGACAGATGGCTAGATTGCGGGGAAATCATATGCAAAAAGGCGCCAAGAACCCCTTGATCTCTTTGAGATGAGAGTATATAAACCCGAAGTCGCGAAGACATAGATCTCAACGTCAATGATCTTTAACTGCGTCCTCCGGCCCGGCGCGAGTGGATCTCACGCTGTCCGGAGCCGGGAGGGTCCCGATTTGGCTATCTTTAACCCCGTTGGGGTTCTTCGATGAGGGGGTCTTGGACTCTTAACGAGCACTAACAGAAACACAGCTGCGAACGCTTAGAACCGCGATAACCTTCTCTCTTAGGAAGACACAGCGTATGTTCTGCTTAATGTCCCGCCTAGACCGGCCCTCTACGGACCCCACCCCGACGGCAGACTGGAGGACTCGGTAAGCCATCCCGAACGCTGCTAAATGACGTGAGTCAGTGCTGAAGTCGCCTAATGCCCTCAAGCTGTCCATCTTGAGTTTGAGTACGGCGTACCTTAAATTATCTGAAATCGTAGTATCACTGACGAAACAAACAAAGAAGCGGCGGTCATTTCCTTCTCAACTTATCAACGCAAAGAATAAACACAACACACCTTTAAACATGGCACCGAAATCCGTTCTCCTTGTCGGCGCCAATGGCACACTAGGCGCCAAAATCCTAGACTCCCTGGTCGCCGCCAAATCCTTCAAGCTCAGCGCCCTGAAGCGCGCCGGCTCCAAGAGCACCATCGCGTACCCCGCAGACCAAGTGCAAGTCATCGAAGTCGACAACGACCTCTCCTACGAGGGTCTCAAAAAGGCCTTTACGGGCCAAGAAGTCGTTATTGTCAGCTTCCGCCTGCGCGATCTCGACCAGCACCTGCGCATCGCCGAGGCGGCGTCCGCGGCGGGCGTGAAGCACTTTATGCCCGCCGATTTCGGCAGCATCGATGCCGATAACCCCCGCGCGAGGGAGCTCATCCCGCTGTACCGCTGGAAACGCGCCGTGCGTATAAAGGCGCAAGAACTGGCGGACAAGAACCCGGATTTCGCGTGGACGGGTATCGTGTGCGGGCACTTTTTCGACTGGGGTGTCAAGGAGGGCTTCTTGCACGCGTACCTCGACACCAAGAAGATCGACGTCATTGACGGCGGAGATATCAAGGCCTCTGTTGCGACGCTGCCGAGGGTCGGCGAGGCCGTTGTGCGTATTCTCAACTTGGGCATTACTGAGGTGACGAAGAACAAGACGCTTTTCATTCAGAGCTTTTGCATCACGCAAAACGAGCTGCTTCAGAGTTTGGAGAAGGCGACGGGAGCAAAGTGGACTATCAACAAGGTCGAATCTGAGAGCTTCATCGCAGAACACAAGGTCAAGGCCGATGCGGGCGACGCTGAGGCGATTGAGGACCTTGTCTTTGCCGTCGGGCAATTAGATGCAAACTGGACGAAGCGCGATGACTTTGCCATGAAGACTTTGGGGCTGGAGGATGAGGATTTGGATACTGTTATTGCAGATGTTGTCGCCAACCCAGCAGTTTGAGGGACACCACGTGTACCAGGGAAGGCCGATAGAACTGTCTCAGCTACGCTAATTAGATTCCTGATTTCTCGCCTTGTTTGAGAGTAATACTTATTGAGCAACTGTATGTGGGATCGCTTATGTATGTGCCACAATCTTGGTAAATGTCTATGGTTTATCCCAGACTTCTGAACTACAAACTATCGACTGCCTTTGGCAAGTCCGTCATATCGTCCAGGAATACATCAAACTCAGACCGAACCTGTTCCATGTCCTCATCGACGTCATCAGTCCATCTATGAACATAGATAGTTTTCAACCCAACCTTCTGCGCCCCTCGCAAATCATATGCGTGCGCTGCAACCAGCACCACCTCCTCAGGCTTAAGCTTAACAAGCTGCAATGCCTTTTCATACGCAATGGGACTGGGCTTGTATACACCCAGGATCTGGCTGGAAAAGAGCATGTTGAAGCTGAGCCCCGAAAACCGGACGAGGTCAAGCTGCAAGCGAGTTGTGCCGTTGGCATGCACAAACACTTCGAGGCCGAGATCGTTCCGAAGGCTTTCGATTGCCTTGGAAACTTCCGGCCAGGCAGGCTGCGAGTGCCATGCTTTGATCAACTCCGTCTTGATCTCGGGATTGAAGTGGCTGGCGTACACGGGGGACTGGTCCAACAGGTTATCGAGGACCCGAGCAAACGTAATGTCAATGTCCTCGGGCTCAAGACCCTGCGCATGCCGGTTTGCATTCTCAATGAAATATTGTCTGCGCCATTCGAGTGCGAACTTTGACGCATCATCCTTTGGGATGGTGGCGGGTAAGGCTTCGATTACACTTGCATGCCAGTTGAGGCAAGTTCCCATGAAGTCAAAGAAGACCGCCTTGATCCTTGTAGGTTGCTGAGACATGATGGTTGGTAGGAATTGGTTGAGGTACCCTTGGGGATAGTTGGAAGCCATGGTCGGGGAAACAAGCTTTGCTTGGCAGAAACCTTGAAATATGAGGTCTTGACTCCCAATCGCTTTCAGAACGACAAGCTGAATCCTATTAGTAATTCGAGGTCATTTTGGGACTTTGGAAGGGCGCGCTTTAGCGCAACCATCCTTCAACATGTTGTACATAAGCATGCGGGCACTGTCAGCACGATCAGGTAAGCCGAGTACAATGACGTGGTTATCCTAACCAAAGCAAAGCGGCCATATGTAAATGCGAAAAGTAAGACACCAAAGGCCAGTCAAGTTTTCGAAGGAAAAAAGAATTCAAAGAAGGTCGTATAAGCTTTTATAAACTTAAGCCTACAAGCGGTTGTTATTGGTTGAAAATCCCAATGCGTCTTCCTGCTTTCCCTCCCGCTACGATGATCTGGAGTGCTCTACTTCATTCTCAATTTCAGGAGTACATCAAAAACTAGATGGAGAAGGCAAAACAGAAGTAATCCCCAGCACAGATTGAATCAACAACCAAGACATCAAGGATTCTAAGATGGCTTCAACCGGCCTCCCTTGGCATGTCTGAATTGTGGAAAGAACGAACACCAAAAGAAATATTTACCACTGACGCAGCTCGTTTCAGAGCTTCAAGCCCTCTTGGACTTAGGCTATGTGGCACCCAAAGTAAGATCGTGATAATAGTGCTTCTTGTACGAAGGCAATGTCCATAAATCTCAACGTAAGGCAATTTGACATGATTCTTCCCTCTTCCACTCGGCTCTAGAGCCTAAAACTTGTTCATGTCGAGACAAGATTATTGGAGAGCATTGGAGAATTTTATGAAAAGTTTCGTGAGTTGAACAAATTCTTTTGCTTATTTCAAAGCCCCCTAGCTCACCGGATCGAACACTTGTTGCCCATTTCTTTACCCCTCCGAGGAGCGGAAGGCCTTGTTGCGAGAGTGGCGTGAGTGACGGCCTTGGCTTGCAGTCAGCACAACTTCTAGTCATGAATCCAGGGCGGGGAACCAATCTGCGTGCAACTGCGCCAATTCTTCAATTCTACAGGCCCGCTGTTGGTGCAACCGATATCTGCCGGCACTTATCAACCCCGAGCGGAGTGCATGAAGCGAGCGCCGCAGTTGGGACCATGGGGCTAATAGCTTCTTCACGTCTGAGGAGTCGAGAACTCCCAATGATGGATGATAAAGAAGAAATCTGCGCCTCGCAGATAACCTATTTCACCTGACTAGGCACACTATGCAAGTGTTCGGGCGCTACAGTACAGTACAACATGGGCAATTAGCGAACAAGCCCTTACTTGAAAGTGATAGCCCAGTCGCCAAAAGCTGCTCAATGGCGGGGTTCCTGGAGTGCCCCGACGGGCTGCGGTGACACGCCCGCGATACGGCCCCAGTAAAGGGCTCCGGACGGAACAGTTTTTTGAGGAGCTGTGACTGGGGGAAATCTGCAGGACCGGGGACCCGGACCGGGGCGTACGGTAGTAGGCAATTTCTCCGTCCACATGGCTGTTCTTGGCACTATCAAGCAGATAATGTGACCTTTGACAAAATGGTATGGCAGGATCCTGATTAGATCTTGGCAACGCAAGTCGAATGCTCTATAATACCACACTGAAACAAGGGCCAGCGGCTGCAAACTGCCATTGAAGGGGAAATAGCTCCATAGTCCTTCCTATTTCGCGTCCGCCCCTTTGGCTCACCCCCTCAGCCATATCTCTGAGCCTTGAAATCGCAACTGTTGCCCGTCGACTTGTGAACATGATTGGATCGCCTATAGAAATCTCCTGTTTTCGTTGATCGTGGGTTTATCTCAGCGTAGGATTCGGACAGTATGTTGGATCTAGTTTGTGAGGCTTCGAGCAGTCAGAATCCTCCACGATAAGTCCACCAATCGAGTATGCATGGTATCTTAAGCTTGTTTGTTTTTCTTGACTCTAAGTCTGTGAGAGTTGGCAAAGAAGACTCGGCTTCAGTCTTCTATATAATCCGAGCTCACCGTCTGATGTTGTCATTTTGGGGAGAGTCTTAGAAGCTTCACTGAGCAAGGACATTCTATCCTAATCACGATTGGCTATACTTCCACCTTCCAGCATTGCGATTAACCAGGTTTTAGCCATCATGTACTTCTCCAAGGCTAGCATCGTGGCTTTGCTGGCGGCCGTACCCAGCACCCTCGCCTGTCTCGGATACGAGGGCGGCGTTCCCACTGCGACTTCCACCAAGACCAACAGCAAGTACATTGAGGTTCCCGCTGGCACTGTCTACGACGGTGGTTGGGCCAGGTTCGACCGTGGTTCTGGTGCTTGCACCAGCGGTGAAGGAGGTATGCTATCTACTGTATCTGACGCCATGGCAAGCTTGAGTTGAAAACTGACAAAGTCGCCTAGGTGATGCCGATGCCGTCTTTATTCTCCGCAAGGGCGCAACTCTGAAGAACGCCATTATTGGCAAGAACCAGAAGGAGGGCGTTCACTGCGACGGACCTTGCACTCTCGAGTTTGTGTGGTTCGAGGATGTTTGTGAGGATGCCATCACTGTTGTAAGTAATGAAATGAGCAGTAAACAAACCTCTTCGAATAGCATAGTTGACACCCGATACAGAAGAACGATAAGGCTGGCGACCACACCTGGATCATTGGTGGTGGTGCGTACAAGGCCAGCGATAAGATTGTTCAACACAACGGCTGCGGCACCGTGAACATCATCAACTTTTGTGAGTTATTCTGAAGCAGTTCCCTATTGGATTACTTGCGATATATCGCTTACCACAATTGTGTAACACAGACGCGAACGAGTGAGTTGTCTTCGTGTATTATCTAGGTGATACCAAACTAACACTGAAGTAGCTATGGCAAGGTCTATCGCTCTTGCGGCAACGTAGGTCTTCTACTGTCAAGTCTCATGATCTTTGGGGGTTAATTATGCTGACCTGAGTCTCTCCAAACCAGTGCAGCAGTCAGTGCAAGCGCAACGTCTACGTCGAGGGCACTACCGCCCGCAACGGTGGCGAAGTTGTTGGCATCAACTCCAACTATGGCGACACCGCCACCCTCAAGAACGTCTGCACCGACGCTAAGAACCCGTGCCAGATGTACACCGGATGTGCCGGTGGCTGCGAGCCCGTCAAGTCAGGTGTTTGCTCCGGATAAGATACCTCTACGGTCTACCGCAAGCCGCACGGCATCGCCGAGAGTCTACACGGGTCCCTCGGGCCCATCACCAACCCTGGACCGTATTTTCTTCTCAAGTCAGAACTTTTGGCCAGAACTTCTTGTACATATCATCTCACATTGCGGCCTATAGTCGCTGCGCACATATTTAGCTTGATGTTAAATGAGGAACGACCATGTTTGCCGACATACCTTGGCTACATTACGCAACGCAGCTGATCCGTTGAATGAAGTAAGAACCCTGAAGACTGAAGGATATGTGCACGTGTTTTACGCGTGGTCTCTTGAAAGTATTCAGCATGGTACTTTATTCAATCGCATGACCTGAATGTATGCGAGCAGGTTCATTCCATGGGATGCCAAGCAGTTAAATCGAGAAAGGCTGCGTCACGCGTGAAAAGAAGTTAACTTTCGTTAATATTTTGAAATTTAGGTAATTTACCAATCAATTTGACTTCTACATACAAGCTGTCTTTACCATTTGAACCCATTACTTACTTGCTACCTTTGTAGAAGTATGACCTCAATCTGAGCTTGACGTAGTAATACTTGTTTCGTCGCAACGTATGACCGACGAAATCGGTCAAATGGATCTCTGACGTTTCTACATCCTATGCTCTTTTAGGGCAGTCATGGAAATCGTGGGGGTGAGTTTGATACGGCTCTCTGACTCCGACATAATGTAATACCTGTCTAATTCCACTGTGTCGCTGAATCCTTGACTTTTCCCAATGAGCATGATGGTTACTTAAGTCAGCGCGATATATACCGATCTTCTAGCTACGAATCATGCGTTGAAACATGCGTAATCAAGTGGCCCAAGCCAACTATTTCTCAACCGAAGCCTATTAAATCTTAGGATTTCAAAATATCTGGTACTCGGGGGTTGATCTGACTTTATCGGTCATTGCTGGACAACATTACCACGCGACCTCTGTGTCCAAAATCTCACTGACCAAGCAACTATCAGGTAATGAGAATTCAAGCACCTTTGAGGCATCATCAAGCGGATTTGCCAAAGTGATGACAGGGGCGACGGATTGCACCACGATGGCCATCCTTTTCTAAGTATAAAAGGACACATAAAGAGTGTGAGTAATTAAACATGAACTCATCAACTTCCTCATCAACCTCACTGCCGAACTCACTACCAAATTCACTATCAACCTCATCATAAACGGAATTTCGGAGCCATTTCGACCACACCTATCTGAAACTCTCATTCATGTCAACCTTCCAGTAACCCCTTAAAATTTCATCATGGCGAATAAAACAGCCAATACTCAAAATCCTCAAGGCTCTACCAGGCTAAAAGCTTTGGTTAAAAGTCTCAGGACTTTGGTTCATACGAAGAAAAGTCTTCCGATTAAGAGACTAGAGCAACACCAGGAGGCCACAATCAAGAAAGAAGCAAAGGCACTGGAGAAGGCCAAAGCAAAGAAGGCCAAGGCGGAAGCTCGCGACGCCAAACGAAAAGAACGCAGTATCGTTTATAGACGATCAAGCTCAACATATAAATCCGACCCAAATGCGTGGTTGATGATGACTACGTTCGACACTAGTGGAGGGGGATGTCATGACAGTGGATGTCACTGTGATTAGTGGAGGTCTCATGGGACTTGGGTGACCGTCTTCCTCCAGAAAAATGGAAACACAGATGAAGCGTCTAGCGTGACTGCGGCGTTGTCACCTTACCACACGTTATTCCGATGTCACTTTAGAACTACATCCTTTCAAAGAATCCGTAACAAGATTTCCTTCTTCATCGTGCCCTATTTCTACTGGTATAGCTTTCCGTCGGAGGCTGCTTAATCAAGCGAGCGAATTAGATAAATAAGTGACCATCTGGTCTGCCACTGGCTACCTCTGACACTCTGCCAATTTCACGACACTCTCAGCCATTTCATGTGACTAAAGACTAGAACGCCTGTTGCTCTTGATTTATCATTAACCATATACCACTGGAACTCGGTATCAATCTGATCTCACACTCGGACGCTTTACAAGATGTGACACTGCGGGACAAAATTTCCAGTGGAAATTAATCCTTGAAACACTCTTTAGAGGCAGGATCCATCTGAAGTATGGATGTGAAGTGCCTGATCCTTGAACATGAGAAGACCCCCTTAGGTCTGACTGTCTAGTCAATCTTTTCTGTGCCTTTGCTACGATCAAGGGTCTACTTGGCAGGGGAAAGCTTTCTGGCAAGGCTCCAAGAATTTCTTGGTTGTGAGAAAATAACTCAGACTTCATTTGGTCTGGTGATAGCATCGCGCAGCTTCGGCCCGAGCGCTGCCTGGTGACAGGAACTCTAAGTCAAGGTTTGGATGAGTAGCGGGGCGGCGACTTGCCTAAATAGTAACGTTGGGTGCAATTTGATTCGAGCGCGTGGTGAGTTTACCTCGGTACATCATTTCTGCGATGTCACGAACAGCTTTCCCCTGCTCAAATGACCAGCCATCGTCCGTTTCCAACTTTCTTCCCCCTACCCAGCAGGCCATGTCACCATTGCCGGTAAATACGAGTTGTTATTGCACAATCCCTGGCGGCACGTGAAAGAATCTGACCGCATCTGGAAGATTCTCCAGGACAAGTACCACCGCGATCAAGGGCACCTTGCTTGTGACATATGTGCCCAATCTGGAGACAAGAATGGGCACATCTTTGCCCGAAGTCATGCCCGTCGCAACAGCTTCCAGTTAGGTCAACTTTCTCACAGGACATTTCCAATTAGAAGGTCAAGAAATATATTATAAAAGACTTTTGGCCAGACTGTGTTCTATCTTCACTCAGTAACTTGAACACCGCCGGGCGGCCTGACTCAGGCGCATCGTCTCCTAGTCTCCTCACCGGCTGCGACTTCCCCGCAAACCAGCCATCAACAGCCGGGGATGCGCATCATCACCGGCTGTCTTTGGAGATTGTGGGGTATTCAAAGTGCGGAGAAACAAGGGTATTCGGGGTAGCTAATGTGACTACCGCAAGTTCCCGTTGGGCTTCGGTGCAACCGTTCCACGACGCTTTGCCTTTACTGCTGCGCTTGCTCCTCACAAGTGAACTTGCAAATCTTCCGTTGCTAGCATGAGGCTTGCGTAATAACAAGAGGCAATGATCGGCCATTGGGCTGTTTATGGGCGCAATATCCATCACAGTGCTACCCAAGCCGGCCGGCCAAAGTCTCGGACGGTTCGTCTTGCCCTGACCCAGCGATGTGGGAGATCATCCCGCTCCTGCGTATGTCGGGGCCGGACGACAGGAACGCTACATATATAAAGTGAGAGGGAGGTCTTGTGATACGTGTTCCTGCTTGATGCTCAAGGTGACGATTTGTGGCTCTCTGAGCAATCCCAGTCATGCAGTCGCTTCACTTCTGGCTCTCCTCTGCACTCGCCCTCGCGACGGCTGTGAGAGGCCAAGATGACAACACCGCAAAGGTTGAGGCGGCTCTTGCTGCCATCACCGTTACCAATCTTGAAGATGTCCGTGGCAACCTCTACCTACCCTCTACCATTGACGGCCTCAATGTCACCTGGGCAAGCAACTCTTCGGTCATCTCAAGCAGTGGTGTTGTCGTGAGACAGACCGAGGATACTCTGGTGGCTCTGACCGCTTCCATCGACTACGAAGGCAGCTCTCAGACTCGCGAGCTGATCGCTTCCGTCCGCAAAGCCGTGGCCCTTGACCCCTTTGCGGGCTACGCATTCTCCTACTTCACCGGAAACTCCATTGCTGGAGAGAAGATCTACTTCGCCGCTAGTCAAGGCAACGACGCCCTGCAGTGGACTGAGCTGAACGGAGGCCAGCCCGTCTTGACCTCTACATACGGCACCAAGGGCCTGCGGGACCCATTCCTCATCAGATCGCCCGAGGGTGATACCTTCTATCTCATTGCGACCGATCTCTCCATTGGTTCAGGCACATCTTGGGGTGACTCAGTTCGCATCGGTAGTCGGTATCTCGAGGTTTGGGAATCCAATGATCTGAAGACCTGGTCAGCACAGAGGCATGTCTTGGTTTCCCCTCCTGAAGCAGGAAACACATGGGCACCCGAGGCTTACTACGACGACGATCTTGGCGCCTATCTGGTCTTCTGGGCATCATCTCTCTACGAGGATAGCGACGTCAACCGCACTGGCAACACCTACCACCGGATGCTGTACGCAACCACTCGCGACTTCGTAACCTTTTCCGAGACTTCTATCTGGCAGGATGCTGGTATGTCGAGGATTGACTCGACCGTCATCAAGTCGGCTGATACCTACTACCGCTTTACAAAGGACGAAGGCGCTAGCGGTACTGGATGCAGTGATATCATCCAAGAGAGCTCTACGTCTCTTCGCGCTACCCTGGACTCGTGGACCATCATCGACTCTTGCATCGGCAAGAAGGCGGGTACCAGCGCTGTCGAGGGCCCGACTGCCTTCAAATCGAACCCGGACGACGTCCACGGCGAAAAATTCTACCTCTTCGTTGATGAGTACGGTGGTCGAGGCTACATCCCCTTGGAGACTGCTGATATTGGCAAGCCCAACTGGACGGTATCATCTTCCTACAGCTTGCCGGCCAGCCCGCGTCACGGAACCGTCATCCCTGTCACCGCTGCCGAGCTTGCCTCTTTGACTGGAGCATCGGCCACACGCCGAGCAGTCGAAGCTGAGGGCGAGATCCTCCGCTACGACTTCTCAGCTGTTGATGGCACCCAGCTCCAAGATGCTTCCGGAAACGGTAACCACGCTGTGATCAATGGTGGCGCTACTGTCGTGGACGGTGCTCTCACCTTTGACGGTGTCGATGACTTTGTCAAACTTCCCAACAACATCTTGTCGGGCGTTGAGGATGTTGCCATCGAGGCTCAGGTTCTCCTTGATGCTTCTCAGACAACACCTTACTTCATCTATGGCATTGGAAACACTGCTGCCGATGGCAACGGGAATGGCTATCTCTTCACCACCGGAAGTCCTTACAGAGCCAGCATTACA